TGCGTAAATCCTTATTTATTATCCGTTCCCAAAAGCATAGAGCAAAATACCTGCGCGAGTTAATGGCACATTGAAATAAAGACTTTGACCTAATTCAAATGTTGGGGGTAATAGAAAATCTGAAAATATATAACTTTCTTCAATTATCATTTAGATATAACTGTTGGCGCACTGAAACCACTGATTTCCATTAGAATCTTTTATCCTTCAAACAAAATAATATTTTTTAATAAAATACAAATTGAAAAATATAAAAAAATATAGGCATTTATTTCAACGTTTCAAATTTTTTTAATATAATTCACAAATTAAGCACACGCGAACTAAAGAATGGAAATAAACACGTCAAATTACATCTATATAATATACGCTTGCGGATCGACGCAGATTCTGAATTCAAAGAAAAAATTAAATTTTAAAACTAAATAAAATCAGGCTTGCCAGAAAAATTTAAATTTGTTTTTTCCCTGATTTCTAGAAAAAAAGTTTGACATAAATAGTTTTATTTAAAATAAATATTCAATCAATAATTATTATTTCATCGGAATTAAGATTTTTAAAAATTTCAAACTCAAACCTTCTAAAAATTCAACAACTTATAAAAATATTAATAAATATAAAACATAAAGATATTGGAGTGATCGATTTCTTCCTGTTTCATAATAATTCAAAATGCCCGAGTGATAAAATCATTATTTTATATATTATAAGAATATTGTTTCTGTAACTTCTTCAAAATTATTTTCAACATTTCAATTCAATTATTATTTTCTAGAATTTCTAACTAAAATTCTTCTTTAAATCAATTATTTTTAATAATTTTTGAAAAAGTTCTTTGAGAATTTTCAAATTCATTTGTTCACATTTCAATTTTACGAAATTTCCATTATTCGTCGATGAGCTTTACTATTTATGATAATAATTTAATTTCTAAAAGGAATTCCAATATTCATGAAAATAATTGAATCCTTGAAAAGAATTTTAATAGTTTTTTAAATAATTCAGGGCTCGGATCGTCTTTAAGACTAAAAGAAAGTCGCTTTAGTCGCATACATTTACATAACAAAAGTCACGAAAAGTCGCATAAAATTTCCGAAAAAGTAAAAAAAAAGTCGCATGAAATCTTAGAAAAAAACGACAAAAAGAAAACACAAAATTCTAAAAAAATCATATTTCTTGACAATAACAGATACCTACATTAATATCAAACAATCCGGAATAAAACTTTAAAAAATTTAATAAAATTCATAGCAAAAATTTAATGAGGTATTTTTAACATTTTTTTTAAAAACTCTCTTTAAATGTCAATTATTGTTATAAATAATAAAATTCTTCTCCGAAATTCAATTATTTAAAAAAAATTTTAATAAAATTCTTCTCTGAAATTCGATTATTTTCAAAAGTAATAAAATTCTTCGCAGAAATTCAATTATATTCAAAATTTTTTTTTAATTTTTCGTCAAAATTTTATAAATAATAAAATTGATCATAAAAATTAAGGAAGATTTCGACTATATCAGCAATTAGTGACATCTATTAGACGTCAATTGAACTCTTTGGTTTAGAGTCAGGTGTTATTCTTAAGATAATTATTCCGATATGGTTGTCGGTAAATAATTATATTTTTGAATTTAATTTTTGATCTGAAAAAATAAGCTGCGTGAACGACTGCACTGTGCATCTGTGAGGACTCGAACCCCAGTTAATAGCTGCCTTTCGCGGGACTAACGCCTACATTGGTAGCATTTGGCCTGCATTGGTAGGCGTTAGTCCCGCGAAAGGCAGCTATTAACTGGGGTTCGAGTCCTCACAGATGCACAGTGCAGTCGTTCACGCAGCTTATTTTTTCAGATCAAAAATTAAATTCAAAAATATAATTATTTACCGACAACCATATCGGAATAATTATCTTAAGAATAACACCTGACTCTAAACCAAAGAGTTCAATTGACGTCTAATAGATGTCACTAATTGCTGATATAGTCGAAATCTTCCTTAATTAAAATTCTTCATCAGCAAATAATTTCCTACATTAATTGATCATAAAAATTTAATTATTTTCAAAAATTCTAATAAAATTCTTTGCAAAATTCAATTATCTTCAAAAGTACGAAAATTCTTTAAAGAAATTCAATTATTTTCATAATTATCAAAATTCTTCTGCAAAATTCAATTACTTTAAAAAAAAAAATCTATTAAAAATTTCAATTATCTTTGTGAATAATAAAATTCTTCTCTAAAATTCAATTATTTGCAAAGAATTTTAATAAAATTCTTGTCAAAATTTCAATTATCTTTATAAATAATAAAATTCATTCTAGAAATTCAATTATTTTCAAAAGTAATAAAATTCATCACAGAAATTCAATTATTTTCAAAATTTTCTTTAAATTTCTCGTCAAAATTATCATTATCTTCATAAATAATAAAATTCATCCTGGAAATTTAATTATTTTCAAAAGTTCTGCCAAAATTCTTTGCAAAATTCAATTATCTTCAGAAGTAAGAAAATTCTTGGCAGAAATTAAATTAATTTAAAAAATTTTTTTAAATTCTTCTCAAAATTTCAATTATGTTTATAAATATAAAAATTCCTCTGCTATAATTCAATTACTTTTAAGCATTTTTAAAAAAATCTGTTCAAAATTTCAATTATCTTTCAGAGTAATAAAATTCTTCTCTGAAATTCAATTATTTGCAAAAATTTTAATAAAATTCTTTGTCAAAATTTAAATTATCTTTATAAATAATAAAATTCATCCTAGAAATTCGATTATTTTTAATTTTTTTTAAATTTCTCGTCAAAATTTTAATTATCTTCATAAATAATAAAAATTTTTTTTAAATTCTCCTCAAAATTTCAATTATCTTTGTAAATATCAAAATTCTTCTGCAAAATTCAATTACTTACTAATGTTTTATAAATTTCTTCCCAATAATTCAATTATTTTCATAAAAAATAATTACAAACTTTTTTTATAAAGTCTTATAATATAAAATAATGATTTTAACACTCGATCCTCTTTAATTATTATAAGTTGTTTAATTTCAAAAAGGTTTGAATTTGAATCTATGAAAAATTTTAATTCCTATGGAAAAATAATAATTAAATATTTATTTAAAAAAGAAGTTATTGATGTTTTCGAAAAATTTGAAAGAAATTTGGAAATAAATGTAGTAACAGAACACTTTTTTGACTCAAACTTTTTCCTTTAAATTTAAAAAAAAAAATTTTAATTTCAGTCGCATTTTACTAAAAAAAATTTTGAAAAAGTCGATTAGTCGCATTTTTTCACAAAAAAGTCGAAAAAAGTCACATTTCCTGAGAAAAGTCGAAAAAAAGTCAAAAAAGTCGCACAATCCGAGCCCTGATAATTGAATTATCGCGTAGAATGGAAGTTTTCAGAATTTTAAAAAAATTTTTGAAAATATTTAAATTTCATCGAGAAATTTTATTAAAAAATTAAAAATAATTGAAATATAACGAAGAATTGCGTTAATATTCTTGAAATAATATTCAATTTGAAAATTCTACGAGAATCCAATCATTTAAATACAAAAATAAATAATTTATTGCATAATTGAATATTTCTTAAAACTGAATGCTTATAAAGAATTTTGTAAAAAAATTTTTAAAACTCTGCGATGAGTTTTATTATTTATGAAAATAATTGAATTTCTAAAAAGAATTTTATTATTTAAGAAAATAATGGAATCCCATACCAAAAAAATTTATTATTTAAGAAAATAATTGTATTTTTGCGAAAAAATTTATAAAAAATTTGAAAATAATTGTTCAATTCTTCTGTTTTATTATTTACGTAAATAATTAAATGTTTGCGTAGAATTTTATTACAATTTTTTTAATTTATTAAATTTAATTTTTAAATTTTTTTAAATTTTTTAAATACACTGTAAAAAATTTAGGGAGTTAACGGACTCGGGAGTTGGGAGTTAAATTTTTCGAGTTAAAAATCAACTCCAAAAGAGAGTTAAATTCTAACTCCCTTCATTCAACACCCGCGCGAGTTATTTTTTCCATAAGGAGTTAGCATTTGGGTGTTAAATTTTAACTCTCTTTATTTAACTCCCCTGGCATTAACTCTCCAATGGGTGCGACTTTTATAGAATCCCCTGGGGAGTTAAAATTTAACTCCCTTTTTTACAGAGTAATTGAATTCTTTTGGAAAAATTTATGAAAATAGTAGATATTATTGAAACTCTTTAAATTCAGGAAAACGTTTGAGAATAATTGAAATTTTGACAAGAATTTTATTATTTATAAAGATAATTAAAATTTCCATGATAATTAAAAAAAAAATTTTGAACTTTAATTTTTTTGTAGTGTTTTAAACTAAAATTCTTCTTTAACTCCATTATTTTTTATAATATTAACTGAATATGTATTAAATATATAACTGATTTCAGAAGAATTTGAATTATTAAAATTTTTAAAAAATATAAGTTCTTTAAAATTTTGAATAAAATTCATTCAAATTTGAAATTTTAGAAAATTTCAAATTAATACCTTTTGAAATTGATCCACATTTATGAAGATGATAAATGCAATTCTTTTAAAATACAATTAATTTTGAAATATTGAACAAAAATTCAGAATATAGTGCTGTTATTTTGTTTGGATTTATAATTTTAGTGCAATATTATATTGTTTGATGAAAATCCATAATATTAATAGATTATGGATGATTTTAAATAATTAAGATTATGGATTTTCATCAAACAATATAATATCGCACTAAAATTCAGAATTTTCTTATGAATTCTAAAAATTTAATTTTTTCAGTACTTTTAATAAAAATCCCTGACTTTCCCCTGAATTCCCGCTGACCTGTGGAAACCATATATAAATTGAAAGCAGGAACATGAATATCCTAAGAAAAAAGCTAAATATTCTGTAACGAATCACTTCAGAAAATTAAATGATAAATAAGAAAATTTAAATATATCACCCATTAAAAGAAAATTATTGTTTTTTTCAGAACCATTTAATAGAGAAGTACGGAGGAAATGCACATCCATTTACAATGACGTTGATGCCATTATCACCTCCATCAGTTCAACTAGTTCCTGCGAAAGAATACAATGGAGCACCAATCGGCACCAGCTACAATTTCCGAGTGTTTGTTGGTGAGTTAAATAAACGATAAGTTACATTATTTTACACAGAAATAACACAAATGTAAACACTACTTATTAGGATTGGAGCAGACCCAGAAACACACAAGTAAACATTTTAGACCAATCCGGTAACATTAAAAAAAAATTTGGTCGACATATTGGATCCACCATTTTGAATTTTGAAAATCTGCTCTCAATTTCGAATTCAGCGGACCCAAAAACACCCGAGAAATTAATTTCGATAGAATCGCATCAATCTTGAAATTATCCGCCATTATGTTGTGATAGTTAAGTACCCGGTAAGAAGGTGTGTATTAAAATGAATTAAAATGATATCACAAAAAGGACGAAAACGACATTGGTTTGGATTAAAATGATTGAGAATTCATAGCATATTTGTAATCAGTTTAATCCATTTCAATCCAAAAAAATTAAAATGTTAACAATGTTTATGTTCAAGAAAGGATTCAAATGATTTCACTTTTTAAAATTTTCAGAAAGCATTAAACTGGATTAAATTGAGGCCTTGGATCCAATAACTCGCCCGACGCTCGGAGGAACGCGCAACTGCCAGTCAGTGAGCAGTGAGCGCCTCTGGGCCACGACTGGTATTAGCGCGTGCCTTCGAACGTCAGGCGAGTTATTGGATCCAAGGCCTCAATTGATATCATTTTTCGTCATTTTAACAGATTTGAAATGTTAACAGGAATTCAACTGAATTTAAGTGTGTTCAAATAGATTACTGTGATTGGAATAAATTTATTGATGGACAAAAATGTTATTCGTTTGGATTAAAATGATTTCAAGAATTCAGCTATACTTGTAATCATTTCAATCGATTTCAATACACTCGTTTTTACCGGGTATGTGGAAAGGAGTGGAGACATTATGACTACAATTTTTTTCTGTGTTATAGAAAGTTATCATTATATTATGTTATAATTGTAAATGTAACTTAATTATACATAATTTATTTACTTTTACACTTTCTCTCTCTCTATAATGGAATTCAAGACAGTTGTTTACTACCAACTTATAAACTTACAAAAATCGACGTCGCACCTATAGCACTTAACGTCGCGCTATTGAAAAGCATCATCGCAAAAACCACACATTTTTACAACTTAACCTAACAATTTCGAGACTATTACACAGTAAACTGTGAGGTATTAAAAAGCGTTGCAGATTAAATTAACACCAAAAAGGATTAAAATAATCCATTTTTGTGTTATTTCTTACTATGACTGAAATTTTACTTTAAATCAAAACCAACTTACTAATTAACTAACTAACTTACTAATAAGCTAAATTACTGTAATCTAACTTAGTAACGAACTAACTAACTAACTTGTTTAATTTAGTTACTTACTACCTTACTAAGTTAATTAGTAACTAAGTAATTTAATAAGTTAGTAAATTAGTAAGTTAATAAGTTAGTAAGTTAATTAAGTTAATAAGTTAGTAAGTTAATTGAGTTAATTAGTAATTAAGTTTGTAAGTTAGTTAGTAAGTTACAGTGTTGTCGTCACGCTTTTACTGTTTTAAAATTCCCTGACTTATCCAGTTCTAGAATTTTCAACTAAAATTCTTCTTTAACCCTTTCAGTCACGCAATTAGGATAATAGACAAAATATTACAAACGCTATTGTAAATAGGGTTTTTGGGGTCGCTGAATTCGAATATGGGGTCAGATTTGCAAAATTTTTAAAATTTAAAATGGCGGATTGAATATGGCGGACGAATTTTTAAAAATAAAACGGATTTACTTAAAACTTGTTACTCGGGAGTTTTTGGGGTCGCTGAATACGAATCTGGGGTCAGATTTGCAAAATTTCTAAAATTCAAAATGGCGTATCCAATATGATGGACAAATTATAAAAAATTTAACGAATTCACTTGAAATTTGTTACTCCGGGGTTATTGGGATCGCTGATAACGAATGTGGTATTAGTTTTTAAAAATTCAAAATATAGGATCCAATATGGCCATATTGGATCCGCCATTTTAAATTCTGAAAATCTGACTTCAGATTTGTGATCAGCGATCCCAATAACCCCCAAGAAACAAGTTTCAAGTAAATCTGTTAAATTTTCTAAAATTCGTCCGCCATATTGGATCCGCCATTTTTAATTTTTGAAAACTAATAGCGGATTCGTAATCAGCGACCCCAAAAACCCCCTAGTAACATGTTTCAAGCAAATCTAATAGGTTTTTATATTTTTTTCAACCATCTCAAAAGGTAGTCGATTTATCGACCACTATGACTGAAAGGGTAAAGTCAATTAAAAGTGTTGAAAAGTCAAATTTTCAAAAGTTTTTAATTTAAAAGCTTTTGCAAATTCAAATTATTTCTGAAAATCCACGTTGTAATGCTTTCAATATTCAATTATAATCTTAAATTTTATAATATTTTATTAAATAATTGAATGTTTCCTAAAACTGAATTTTCATATAGAATTTTATCAACAAATTTTTAAATAATTTAATTCTCTTGACAAATTTTATAATAAAATTTTTAGGAATAATTTCATTTTTTTAAAAAATTTAATAAAAATCGTATTAAAAATTTTAAAATAATTGAAATTCTGCTAAGAATTTTATAAAAATTTTTCAAAAATAATTGAATTTTGTTGAAAAATTTTATTATTCATAAAGATAATTGAAATTTTGATGAGAAATTTTGTAAATTTTTTAACATAATTGAATTTCTACGAAGAGTTTTATTAAAATTTTTGAAAATAATTGAATTTTGGAAAAAAAATTTATTATTTTTAAAGATATGTCATTGAAATTATGATGAGAGTTTTTGTAAATTTTTTAACATAATTGAATTTCTGCGAAGAATTATATTACTTCTGAAAATAATTTAATTCTTGAGACGAATTTTATTAAAATTTCATTTTAAATAATTCAATTCTTTTGTGAAATTTCATTGAAATAGTAAACATTGAAAATAATTGAATTTTGACAAATTTTTTAAATTAATTACATTTTTAAGAAGAATTTTATTATTCTAAAAGAAATTGAATTGTTACAAAGAATTTCATTCAAATTTTTTAAAATAATTTAATTCTTTGAGGAAATTTAATTAAAAATGTATTGAAAATATAGGGAAAGGTTTTTAAAATAATTGAAGTTCTTTAATAAATTTTAATAAAAATTTTAAGAATAATTATATTTTTTGAGCAATTGTATTGAAAATAATTGAAAGTCTGCGATGTGTTTCATTATTCATGAAAATAATTGAATCCCTGTAAAAATTTTTATTATTTATGAAAATAATTGAATTCCTGTAAAATTTTTATTATTTATGAAAATAATGAAATGTTTGCGTAGACTTTTATCAAAATATTTTTTAACTAATTTAATTCTTTTGGAAATTTTAATTAAAGTACATAGTAGATATTAAAAATCATTGAAATGAGGAAATTTTTGTAAATAATGAAAATTTTGCTAAGAATTTTTGTAAAATTTTTGAAAATATTTGAATTTCTAAAAATAATTTTACTATACTTTTGATAATAATTGAATTTTTGCAATCATTTGTAACTGCTTCAAAATTCAATTTGTTTTAGTCGTTTTAACTAAATTTTTTCTATGAATCTATTAATTTTAATAATCAATTAAATATACCTATATATTAAAAAATTTAACTAATTTCAGAAGAATTTTAGTTATTAAAATTTTTTAAAAATCTAGGTGTTTTAAAATTTCTAATTAAATTCATTTAAAATTGAAATTTTACAAAATTTGTAATTAAAATCTTTTGAAGTTCATCTACTTATGAAAATTGTAAACGCGACTCTTTAAAAATTGAATTAAGTTTGAAATATTTAAGTAAAATTAGATTTCAAGAATAAACAATGACTTTAGAGAATAATAATTTTCCATAGGATTTTGATTAAAATTAATTTAATTCCCTGACTTTTCCAGGTTTTTTAATTAATTAATTTTGGTGTTAATTTTGTGTTGCAGATTATTTAAATCCATTGTGGTGTTATTTTAACACCTCACGATTTACCGTGTTTTTTATTTCTTATCACTTGATTGTAACTTATTTACATACCTACTATTATTCCAAATTCTATTATTTATCTATTATTATTTCCTTGAAGCACACTGTTTAGAAAATATGGCTATAGTCTAATATGTGTTGCTGTTTGTTCTTAAAAAAAAACTTTCATTTTTTTCAATTAAAAAACAGTTTCTATAGTCCATGGGCCCTGATGTAAAAAAAGTCATTCATTACTGTGTGGTTGAAACTTCGTATATTTGTTATTCAAATCGAGTCGAACAAGTTTTGAATGTAACTAATTCTGGTAGGTGGGGCGTTTTTGTTTTTAACTATCATAAACTCACATAAACTCATGGATTTGACGCAAAACAAATTTATTACCTAAATGTTAGTTCTTATTCAAAATATTTAAACTTTAATGGTACGTTGATTTCACATACAAAAGAAAAATCTTCTGTCGAACAAAAATATGCCAAAGTTATAAAACATAAAAATTTACAACATTATTTTTGTAATATAAATTTGTCAATATTTTATTTTATTATTATTATTTTAATGAAAAAAATATTGCACAAACTAAAATTTTTTAAAAGAAGTTCGCAATCGTTTCACCTAGAACCACAAAATTTATTTGTCATATGAGTATGCATCTATGCATTTATAGACAAATGCGAAACTGTAAATTAACATTTCGAAGATTATGTGTCGCATATATTGTTAACGCAAAAATGAATCAACAAAAATTATAAATAAAACTAAATGAGTTCATTTAATATTTCCATTTGCACTTGCCTGTTAAATTAAAAAGAGAGTCTTTATTAATACCAAGCGGATATCATATTTTTCTCATTATTTCTATTTTTCTCTCTGTCATTTATACTTGCAAACATTTAATAAAGAAACGAAACACTGAAATTTCACGAAATAAGAGATTTCATTTTCTTATTATTCTTGAAAGTAATAACTTCCATTTTTAGCATATCATTGATGACTA